GTTTGCAGTTCTAGGCTGTATTTTTTTTTCTGGTGAGGAAGGCTGTCCCTGAGCCAACGTCTGCTGCCAATCTTTCTCTATTTTATATGTGGGATGCCACCACAGCATGGCTTGATAAGTGATATATAGGTCCGCACCCGGGATCTGAACCTGCCAACTTCAGGCTGCTGAAGCAGAGCACATGAACCTTAGCCACCAGGCTGGCCCTTATTTTTATTTTTTTATTTTTTGTGAGGAACATTATCACTGACCTAATATCTTTTGCCAGTCTTCCTCTATTTTATGTTGGATGCCACCACAGCATAGCTTGATGAGCAGTGCTAGGTCCGTGCCCAGGATCTGAACCTGTGAACTCTGGTGAACTTAACCACCACACCATGGGGCTGGCCCCCTGCTTTTATTTTTGATTACTTGTCTTCTTTGGATTTTGTAAAACAAATGTGCCAGTGTTTACATAGTATCAGTAATTGTTCTATAATGCTTTGGGTATTTACTTGTTCGTTGTGTTTGTACAGATTAGTATGGATACCACTTAAGACTGAGACCTAACCCATAGACAGGCTGGTAGGTGCTGGTTCTAAGGATGGGCTTGAATCTTTGGATAAGACTAAGAAATAAGTCTAGAAGAATAATAATGAGAATTATATAAAAATAACAACTAATGTTTGTTGAGTGCTTTCTGTGGGCTGGATGTTCTTACAATTTATTTGGATTGTCTGATTCATGATCCTTACCAAAACCCGTGAGGATAGATGCTGTTTTCATCTCATTTTGTAGGTAAGTCAGCTGATACTCAGGTTAGGTAACTTGTCTAAGGCGACACAGCTAGTAGAGTCCCAACTTGGACACTTGTTTTGTCCAACTCAAAAGTTGGTGTACTTTATTATGGTAGACATTGCTGCTTCCTTGTATCTTAACAGCGCCAAGCCAAGTCCCAAGTGCAGCTCCTTAGGACATTTTCCATCTAGTGGTATATAAAGGCCTGAGATGATGGTCGTGGTTTTTAGGTGGTGCTCTCAGTGATAATCCCTCCTTTCTGTTTTGCTTACATTGCTCTGGTAGTTCTTTTCCTGGTAATTGCCCTCAGATTCCATTGTTCCCTTTTGAAGTCTTTGGGCTGTTGTCACCAGCAGCTAGGGTTTTGGATTTAAGTTTTATACTGAATTCACTGCCTACAGCTAGTTGAAATGGCTGTCTCAGCCCTCATAAACCAGAGTAGGAGTCTCCTTTGGAGCAGCTTAAACCTTTGTGCTCCTTTGTAGGGGCAGTAGGTTTCAAAGGAAAAACATAGCTGCAAGCCCCAGTCCAGTCCACTCTGATCAGAACATTTAATAATAGAATTAGCATGTAGTTCTCAGCCATCTGCCAAGTCTCTTCCCTCAGATTCTTTTCTACCTGCCCACTCACTTACCACTTACCACTTTTTCTCTCTCCATCCTTTACCCTGTTATTACCCAGGAGAGGCAGCCTGCTCTTGTAAAACAACAAATGCCTCTTTAAAGTCAGACTTGTATTGCATTCCTGGTGCCATGTTTCTTTGTTGTTCTTGTTGTTATTTTAGCTTTGGGATGTTGATCAGGTTTAATATTTCATCATCTATAAAATACAGATAATGATGTATGCCTTGCAGGGTGGTTGTAAGGATTAGAGATTATGTTTATAAAGTCCCTGGCACAGAGTACATCCTCATAAAACAAGAGCTCTTTTTTTCTCTTGAATCTGTTGCTATGATTTAATTGCAAATATTTGTTAGCATCTAATCTGAGCTAGACTTTGCTGAGGATGCTGAAGAGATCAAAAGAAAGCAAAACCCCGAACCTCTGAATTTAGGAAGTTGCATGGTGTAGAAAGGAAACTGACATATAAACAAATAACATTGTGCTAAGTGTAGTAGTGGTATATATAAAGAGGTAGAAACAATTAAATCTTTTTCCAGCCCTGTCTGTGGAGTGGTTTCCAAGTGTTTATTTTGGAAAAATACTTGGTAGTCAAGATGGGAGACAAATAGAGAGAGAGAGAGAAAGAGAAAACAACCCTTTAAAGTTGCTGCAATCTGTGAGGTGCCAGCCTTTTAAGAATTGATTCCGGCAAGACACTTGATAAAATCTCTCGTAAAGTCCTTGTACATAAGATGGAGAAATGTAGGCTGGCTGATAGAATAGGAGGTGGATTTGATGATGGTTATACAACTGTGTCTAGGATGTTTTTCTTCTGCAGTACTTTATTTTCACTTATAAAATCTCTGGGTTGGAAGGAACCTTAGAAATAGATTGTCTAGTCTAATTTGGATCTAAGACCTTTCTTTAATCCAATCTCTTGTTTTTCCCTTTTAATTTTTAATTCAACAGTACAGAAAAGTATGTAGTGAAAAATATACCTCCCTCCTATTACAGTCCTCAGGTGTCCCTATCAACTTCCTCAGAGACAAACAGTACTAATAATTGCTTTGTGTATGATCTTGTTTTATTATGCTTATCTCTTTACACCTTATGTTGTAGTTATTTGAGTGTATGTGCTGTCTCCTTTAGTAAATTGTAAGTTCCTTAAGAGCAAGGACCCTGTCTCATTCATATATCTCCCCAAATTACGTGCACATTGAAGATTCTCAATAAGTATTTGCTTGATTAAGTATTTCAAGGAAACTTGGACCAGGAAGAAGAAGATAGGTTTCTCTGGTAACATGCCCCAGTTTTCTGTCCTTGGCCGTATCCTTTACACTCATTTTTCCCCGGTGACTTGGATGAAGATGTAGAAAGCATGCTTGTCATTTATGCAGATGACACAAAGCTAGAAAAGAGAGCTAGTAACATCAATTACAGAATCGAGACTGCAGATGATCTCAACAGACTGGAATGTTCAGTTGAAAAGAACAGGGACAAATACAAAGTCCTGTGTTTGAGGGGGTGGAAATACCCAACAACTTAGTTATCCAAGTATAGATTTAGGAGACCTGTCTTAATAACGTTTTATTTGAAGGATTTGGGAGGGTAGGGGATGGATCTTAATTGCCTTTAAGCTCATTTTAAGCCAATAGTCTACCAAGATTGTCAATACAGCAAACACAGCCTTGTCTAAATTAGTAGAATGTGTCTTTAGATGAGGTAGTTTGTAGTTCTTGTATTCCTTTACTGGTCAGACTGCTTGCTGAGTACTACGTCTATTTTGTGGCGCCACATATAAAAAGAGACACTGACAAATTGGGGTGTATTCGTAGAGGAAGTTAACTAGGAAGGTACAACATGGGTATAGGAGTCAGAGAGATACAGATTCTGTCCTGGGTTCTGCTACTTACCAGTGTGATAGCTTGGCAGAGTCAATTCCTCTGAGTTTGTTTCCATACCTTTAAAATAGAACAGAATAATAACACCAATCAGAGGATCCTTATAAGGATTAGAGCTAACCTAGGCACTCAAAAGTTTCTGCAATGCAAGTCTTTTTTTTTTTTTTTAACAGATTTTATTTTTCCTTTTTCTCCCCAAAGCCCCCCAGTACACAGTTGTATATTTTTAGTTGTGTGTCCTTCTAGTTGTGGCATGTGGAATGCTGCCTCAGCATGGCCTGATGAGCAGTGCCATCTCCGCACCCAGGATCCAAACTGGCGAAACGCTGGGCCACCGAAGCGGAGCACGTGAACTTAACCACTCGGCCATGGGGCCGGCCCCTGCAATCCAAGTCTTATTAGAGATTGGCTTAATGACTAGATATAGTCCCTGCTTTGAAGGATGTTACATTTTAGTGGAGCAGACAACAGAGTAAATCCAAGATTGTAATGCAGCTTGTTAAGTGTTCAAAGAGCTGATTTGTGGTAAAAGGGGGTAACCTTATTCATACAGCCCCCAATGCACATTGGGCCAGATTATTGTGTAGCAGTATAATGGGTTTCCCTAGGAGGAAGGGAATGCCTCTCAGTGAATGGATATAGTCGACACTGTATGATTGCTCGTCAGGGATGCTTATAGGAAGTATTTTTATGAGTAGGTGGTCGGACTGGAGGGATAGGCAAATGATGGCCAGCTGGGGGCCAAATCCAGCCAGACATCTGTTTTTGTAAATAAAGTTTTATTGGAACACACCACACCATTATGTATATGTTATCTGTGTCTGTCTTCCTACTACATTGCAGAGTTGTGACAGAGACCATATGGCCTGCCAAGCCTAAAATATTTATGATCTGCCCTTTTACAGAAAAAGTTTCCTCCTGGGCTAGATAAATACTTCACAACCTAAATTATTTTGTGAACCAATAACCTTCCTAAATTCTCTGTCATGGGATTTCAAGTGTCAAGAGGGAAGAAGGCAAGATTTGAAATGAGATGGTCACTGTTTTTCTTGTTACTGCATGGATTAAAGACTGGAAAGCAGTTGATTAAATAACCTCCAAGATCCTTTAAGAGACTACGATTTCATCAACAGCTGCCTTATGGTGTGAGACAAAGTATTTGTATGCCACCTGGGCTAAAGCTGTCTATACCCACTAGAATGGGGAGGTAGTCCTAGTGTAGTGGAAAAGTCTGGTTGTGTTAACGGTTCTGAACTCCACTTTCCTCACTGTAAATGGAGCACTTTCTGGAATTTTGTAAAGATTGGAGCTAATGTGAGCACTCAGATGTGGCCATCATTACTGCATTTCATAGAGCATCTCATTGGAGTGTGTGTCACACCAGACAGAATTTCGGTTGGGAAAGTATAAATCCGTCCCTCAAGTGCTGTAAGTTGAGGTAGTACACAAAAACCTTTCTTGGTGTGGGCTAGATGTTTAGGTCTCATGGCAAATAAGGAATCTATATATCTCATTAGCAAGTATGGAGTATCTTGTGGCTAGCAGTTTCAGTCTATACATTACAGTGTTATTCTCTATCCTAGAAAGACAGAGGTTTCCCAGACTATGCACTTTTCCCAGTGGACTAGGATTTTAAACTTTGCTTCTTCCTAAAAATTTTGTCTTTTATGTATTCAGTTCTACTGCTAACTAGCAGTTTTTCTTCTTTTTTTCTCAAAAGTGCTGACACGGAGACAAAGAGAGGCCAAGAGCAAGAGTAAGAGCAAGAGTGGGACAGCCGCCCAGACTTTCCTAGACATTGACAAGTAAGTAGGTACAGTGTTCACAGAGCTCTCCTTTCACATGAAATACCATTGCTTGGACTGGATAAAGAGACCAAGTCCTCTTTTACCCAGGGTTTCTTTGGCCTGCCAATCACTTCGCAGCTTGGATGCCTTTTTCTTATTCCCAGTTCATGCAGTGTAGGTGGCCTCTGTATCCCTTTTCATTACTCTAAAAAAAAATCCTGCCATCCACTCCATTCTCACATTGCTCTTAGCTTTCTGTTTTTCTTGACTTTGCATATTGGTGTTTGGTGCTTTTAGGGAACAGAGAGCTATTTTGTGATGCAATGGTACAGAAGTTGAGTTGCACAAGGTTGAGCAATATAGAAGACTTCCTTGCGTTGCGAGTTGCAGCTTGACTAGGAGAGTGCATTCTAAGGGGCGGGTGAGGTGTAAGTGCTGCCTCTCAAAAGTAAAGACATTACCAACAATACATGAGAACAATTAGTCATTAGGCAGAAACATTTATCTTTGAAACACAGATCTCAGACTCTAAATTTCAGGGCTGCTTTTCCTAGTTGAGTTGAGCAGAGCTGATCACTTGCTCCTTTGGGAATCCTACTGTCATGCAGACATTCCTCTAGGACTGTATTCATCATACTGTATTGCAGTAATTGTTTTTCTTTTTTGACATTTCTGTCTCCCTGGGTAGGCTGTGGGTTATTTGAAGGCAGATACTTGCCTTCATTTGTGTTTGTATTTCCAGGATCTAATAAAATGTATCTGAGACAGCAATAGCTGTTTCTTGAGCACCTAATGTTAGGTACCAGCCACTGTGCTAGGTGCTTTATTTACTTTGTAACTCTCACAATAGCTGGTAAGGTAGTTATCCTTTCTTTTTTAAAAAATAGATAAAGAAACTGAAGAGAATTATAAGTAAATGGTTAAGATCACGTGGCCAAGATGAACTGGCAGAGTCAGCCTGACTCAAAAACTTACACTTCTTCCACACTGCTGCTCCCTCTCATGTACTAGGGGATTATTAAATGCTTTTTGCATTAATTAATAAACCTTGAAAGGTACACTGGTCTAACTTTTCTCATAAAGCAGACTTGTACTTGCCTTCTCCCAGATGATTAAGTACTTGAGAGACTATTTCTCCTATTTTAAAGACCTCCAGACAAATTTTTCCTTAGAGCTAATGCAAATCTCTCTTGCTGTAGTCACTGGATAGTAATGGCCAGAGAGAGAAGTCTAAGATATTAGCAAGCTTTGGAAAGTTTTCTTTAGCTTCTTAAAACTAAAATGATCTTATGAGTCAGGCAGACCTAGGTTCTAACAATTATTAGCTTTAGGACCTTGGGGAGAATAGTACCTTCCTAATAGGGCCAAAGAATTAATTGAGAAATTGTATTTCTCACAGTTGGTGCAAGGGCCTTGCACTAGTTCTCACCACAGAGAAAATACTTAATAAATGTTTATTTTCTTCCTTTGTCCCCAGTGATTCTGTTTTCACTGATGTCCAGTAAACCTTACATCAAGAACATGATTTCCTCTCTTGCCACAAACTCTACTGTTATAAAAAGATAATAATAATTGTGTATATGAAGTTATGCAAAAGCCTCTGGCAGAGCCGCATGGCTTTGGTAACTTCCTAGTTGATGTTGCATGTTGTAGAATTAAGGAAGTCAGTCATAGACAGACTTGATTTACTAATCACACAAGTTCACCCACCCTGGTAAAAATGTCATCTTGATCTAATGCTCTTGGTGCTCCCTTTTCTGTCTAAATTTTAACTTCCTTTTGAAAAAATTATTACACTTAATTTCAGAAGAGTTTGACAGAATATTTTATGTCTGAAGAGCAATCAGCATTGTTTGAGATAGTTAGAAGGGCTGATTTCATTACCATCCCACTGCTGCAACAGCAGGGTACAGAGAAACAGCCGGGGAAAACCGTTAATCACTCAATCCTTTTGATTGGCATTGGGTTCGTTTTATTGGAGATCCTGCTGAGCGAATCTGCTTTGGTTGACATGTCTCCTTCAAAGAATAACTTTGAGACGTAAAAACACAATTTGAGACTTATCCAGGAGCCCAGAGGCAAAAGCCAATCTGAAAACTGCCTTTTCTCCCTTTCTTCTGATTGGCTAGGAATGAGAAGTGTTACCTCTGTAAATCCCTGATCCCACTGAGAGAGTACCAGTGTCACGTAGAGTCCTGTCTCCAGCTTGCAAGGGGTGACCAAGGAGATGGGCCTGAAGAGAGTGGGAGAGTATGCTCAACTGTGGAGGGGAAGCAGCAGCAGCAGCGGAGGAACCCAAAGGTATGTGTGGAGTGCTTTAGGAAAGGCTACCTAACCCTCCACAGTTCTATTCTGGGGTTCCCCTCTCCCCCCTACTCCTTGTCTTCTGTTTATCTTGAAATAAGATTTATGCTTTTTAAAATTATTTTCTCGTTTAATTAAAAAGTAGTATATGCTCATTGTAGTGTACGGACATTCAAACAAAAGTATGACGAATCAACAAATTATCACCCATAATTTCGCTACTCAAAGATAACTTTTAGGGGCCGGCCCAGTGGTGCAGTAGTTCAGTACACACACTGTCCTTCAGCTGCCTGGGGTTCACAGGTTTGGATCCCAGGCACAGACCTACACACAGCTCATCAAGCCATACTGTGGTGGCATCCCACATACAAAATAAAGGAAGATTGGCACAGATGTTAGCTCAGAGACAATCTTCCTCAAGCAAAAAGAAGACTGATAATGGATGTTAGCTCAGGACCATTCTTCCTCACCAAAAAGAAGAGAGAACTTGTAATTTTGGCTTATTTTTCTCTGGTCTTTTTTTCTATACATTTTTAATGTAGTTGACACCATATGTGTGACACCACATATATCTTCATATATATGTGTATTGTGTATAGATGTATTTGTGTATATACACTTAACACTAGCATCAATACCTTCCTGGGTTTGTTTTTAAACTTTTTTTTTTTAAAGATTGGCACATGAACTAACAACTGTTGCAAATCTTTTTTTTTGTTTTCTGCTTTTTCTCCCCAAAACCCCCCAGTATATAGTTGTATACTTTTTTAGTTGTGGATCCTGCTAGTTGGGGCATGTGGGACGCCGCCTCAACATGGCCTAATGAGCCGTGCCATGTCCGCGCTCAGGATCTGAACCAGTGAAACCCTGGGCTGCCAAATTGGAGCACGTGAACCCAACCAATCAGCCACCGGGCCGGCCCCTAAACTTTTTTTTTTTTAAGATTTTAATTTTTTTCCTTTTTCTCCCCAAAGCTCCCTGGTGCATAGTTGTATATTCTTAGTTGTGGGTCTTTCCAGTTGTGGCATGTGGGATGCTGCCCCAGCATGGCTTGGTGAGCGGTGCCATGTCTGCACCCAGGATCCGAACCAGTGAAATCTTGGGCTGCCTCAGCGGAGCGCACGAACTTAACCACTCGGCCACAGGGCTGGTCCCTAAACTATTTTTTTTTTAATTATTCTTAATATTTGTATCACACAGATAGTCACTTAGCCATTCTCATATTATTGGACATTCAGGTTCTTTCCAATTTTTTTGTATTATAAGACTGTATTTAAAATATTAATCAGTCTTTGCACCACTGATTATTTTCTTACAATAGATTTCTTGAAGTGGAACTCTTAGGGCAGTGGACATAAACATTTTAAAATCTCTTGAAACATACTGCCAGATTGCTTTCCAGAGAGGGTATCCAATCATACCTCAACTGCCAGGAACATATTCGAGATCAACTCTGTTGAATGCTTCATGTGCCTGGCCTTAGGAAGCCGTGGAATCTGGCCCTGACTGGGAAGATGAATGTGTTTTCTGGGCTTTTTGGTTAGAGATCAGGAAGATCTGTGGCTTAGAGATCAAAGATACAACAGCAGCTCCATATTCTAGGCTTACTCACACAGCAATCACTGCACACTAAGATGGAGAAGCCATTATCTGTCATGACAGAAGAAAGGGACCCCTGTGTGAGTGGGGTGATTCTGAGGTGGTGATTTTGAGTTGGGGCTTATAGGTAAGTACTTATACCATAGAGCCATTTTATTCTTCTTGCATCACTGCCTCTAGAAGCTACCTTGAAACTGTTATTTTCTGTTTTAAATCGCTCCAAATCTATCAGAGGTCAAAGGCTACTCTTCTCTAATAGGATCTTGGTGGAATAATTTGCCTTGACTCTGGTATCCATTCTTGAGTAATACTCTTGGCATAAAGATGTGTTCCATTCATCACAGTTTGGTTATTTACTTGTGTACCCTCATTTATTAGAAAGCAAAAGACTTTTTAAAGCTGTGCCCCCACACCTCTTTTCTCCTGGAAACAGGTTGATCTGGGTTAAAGAGGTTGTATTTCAGACACTCTGTCATGAGGTAACCCTTTCATGTATTTTCTTCTGTTACAGGAAAAAGGTTGCAGAGAAGGCCGACTCCTTAGTCTCTTGGAACAAACCGAGCACAAGACTGCAGGTCAGGACCCCAGGACCAGCTTCTCCCTAAGGCCTTCCAGGAAAAATAGCCACTGCCGACTCCTTAATTATTGGTTGGAGTTATGTGGGTGCATATTTGACCTTGTCAGTCAGCCTTTGAGATTCATTCTAGGTCATTTCTAAGGAAGATGGGGAGATACCCTGTCTTGTTCATCGTATGTTTCATTTCTGGCTTTGTAAAGCCTAAACTTTCAGGACTGCCTGTTGAACTGGGAAAAAAAAGCATTTTTAAATCATAAGGGAATGACACAAGCCCCAAGTACCTTCTGAAGGAGCAAGCATGGAAAACTAGACATGCAGACGTTACTATCTCCTCCTGATGTTTTTTGTATGGTTCATATGTTACCTTTAGCTTAGTGTCCCGACCTGTGCTCCTCAGGGATTATGGGAAATGACTCTGTCTCTTTGTGCCTAGTATTTAGGGAGTAGTAGAGTGGTTGGTTAAGAGCATTGCATAGAGTTAGTAATACTAACTTCATAGATTGCACGGATTATAGCTAGTAAAGCTCCTGACATGTTCCCAACATAAAGAGGCTCTTGATAAATGTTAGCTGCTATTATTACTGTTGTTGTTATTAGTGGCTGTTGTTAACATTCCCTGGATGCAGATGGAAGAGGATCTTTGGCTTAAGCCTGGTGAGATTTGCTTGCCATCTAGTTCTAATAGTGCATTCCCACCAAGTAAATCTGTTTTGCTTTCTGATCACTATAAAAAGGCTGCTTCTCCGAGTCCCACAGCCTGCTGCCTCTAGATCAGCAGGTTGTGAATCTGCAGGTAGCACATTTCCCTTGGCAAACCCTTATTCCTCAAGTCCAGATTTGAAGTAGATTTACTCAGCGGTGGTTCATTCAAAAGTGTTCATCCTAGTACTTCTGCACCTGAGCCTGTTGGATGCTAATGCTCACATTCCATTGGTCTGGGGGTTGGGAATCTGAGCTACCTGGATAAGCCTGATGAAAAGCAGTGCCTAGAACACAGGAAGCACATGATCAGTGAGAAGTAATATGACTACAACACTGCTAACAGCATTTGTTGCCTTTTCTCTCCTGTCACAGATGCAGAGATAAAGACTAAGTCTTCAGAAATAGGAGCCTTCAGGTGAATTGGGGTGTGCATTGAAATGTGGCTGTTAGCAGTTCTAGAAAAGTACAGACCTGGTCCTGGGTTCTGTGTATAGTATGATATTCAAACTGTCAAAGTAGAAATCACTCTGGAACTGTGACCTCTCTGTATAGCTCTGTGACCCTCATATATCTGGTCTAAGAATTGATTGGCTAGCTCAGTACACTCATGGTGTTAACACAAGCAGAACAAAGTTGTGTCTTACTCCCCCCCACCTCTTTATCCCACCTCAACCTTGGTTTTATGACTTAGATTTCAAGCAACTTGAGAATTTGGGTCTGAATCCTTATTATCTCACTGCCTAACTGTTTGGCTTTGGGTATATGATTTACCCAGTGTCCTCATCTGTGAAGAGGGAATGATAGTACTTCTCTGGTTGGATTTTTATAAAGATTATATAAACTAATAATATGTGTAAAAGCCCCTGGTACAATGTGTGACACATACTTAATGCCTATTAGTAGGTGTATATTGAATTCTGAATTTTTCCCCCTTCTCTCTAGGTTGCCCTCACCAGGGATGGAAGAGGCAGGCTGCAGCAGAGAGATGCAGAGTTCCCTTGCACATCTTGACTTAAATGAGTCTCCCATCAAGTCTTTTGTTTCCATTTCAGAAGCCACAGATTGTTTAGTAGACTTCAAAAAGCAACTTACTGTCCGACCAGTTAGCCGGACACGGACCAAAGCAGGCAGAGGAAGAAGGAGAAAATCTTGAATTTCTAGAGTCCACAGGTTGACAGATCCATTAGCAGTAGGGATAGGCCATGTTCATTAAGCCTTAATGGCCTCCAGTTCACTGTTGAGTAAGTTTTGGCCCTGCGATTTTCACCACCAGCACCTACTCAGCATTCTGGTTTTTATGTTTTCTATGAGCTATACAGACAACTGTGTATAGTATTCTGTTTTATACCAGTCTGTTTGAATTCGCTTATAGTTAAAAGAAAATTTAAATATATTTATCTATGTTTGTATGAAATTTTATTTCAACAAGATGGAGATTTTCCTTTTTTTCACTCTGTGTTACGGGGTTAGGGGTGGAGATATTTTAATTGCGGAGCTAGTTCTCAGAGTCATAAATTACATGTTTCCAAATGAATTCCATTACTGGTCTTTGACATACTGCCTATATTTACTGAATGTGTAGTGTACACTTCCAAACACAGTGTGGTTGCTCCCTTGACCTTTTCTGACACCATTCTGGAATCCTACTTCTTATTCTGCTATCCCTACCATTCAATGACCTGTCACTTCATCTTGCTGCTTCACCCAGTTAAGTATTCTCAGCCAGGGGCTGTCCCCATGGCCGAGTGGTTAAGTTCACACACTCCGCTTCAGCAGCCCAGGGTTTCACCACTTCAAATCCTGGGCATGGACAGGGCACTGCTCATCAGTCATGCTGAGGCAGCGTCCCATATGCCACAACTAGAAGGACTCACAACTAAAAATACACAACTATGTACACAACTATGCAACTTTGGGGAGAAAAAGGAAAAATAAAATCTTAAAAAAAAAAAAAGAATTCTCAGCCACAGCATAGGACCTTTGAGGGGTATGTCCTGCCCTTCTTCTCAGTAGTGTGTACATAAACACTTTGTTACTAGTTCCTTTGCAATTACTTTTTCTTCCTAGATTAACCAGTGGGGGTGCCAGGCGTATTCATCTGTTAAAACCGAAATTGGTTCTCTTACTGTCAAAGGTCATAGCAGCAACAGGAAATAGTTTATGTTTCAGTACCTTAGTAAGTAGAAGAGTGCACATTCTTGACCACATTGCCCAGGAGATTTCAATGCAGAACAGAGCTGTGACTGTCCTCAGTGCATGGGCAGACTCCAAAGATGAGAGGAGGTCAGATGGCAGAAGCAACTAACTGACAGAGATAACCAAACAAGAATGTTAAGAAAGCTAGCTTTGGGGCTGGCCTGGTGGCATAATGGTTAAGTTAGTGTGCTCCGCTTTGGAGGCCCAGGGTTCGCCAGTTTGGATCCTGGGCATGGACCTACACTACTCATGAAGCCATGCTGTGGCAGCATCCCACATACAAAACAGAAGAAGATTTCCACAGATGTTAGCTCAGCAACAATCTTCCTCAAGCAAAAAGAGAAAGATTGGCAACAGATGTTAGCTCAGAGCCAATCATCTTCACCAAAACACGAAAACAAAACAAAAAAGCTAGCTTTGGCCCAAGCTGATTTGAAGATGGAATGAAAGACTGTGAAAGGTAGCTGCTGACCAGGAAAGGGTCCTGGGACAGGATAATGAGGATAACGTTATGACACTCTCCTAACTTCTGATTTATCAAGTCCAAAGTTACCTTTTCCTTTGTTTTAAAATGAAAATGAAGTGTGTGTTAGATTGGGGAGGTCAGAGATAGCTAGGATGGAAGGCACAGCACAGGCCTTTAAGGCACTGTTTACTGTGTAGGTGCCTTTGCCCACAAGCGCTTTGAGTTAGAAGGAGGCAGGATGGCAGGCTCACTGTCTTTTCCTTCCATGTCTTGGTGTTGGATGGCACTGACATTGCAGCCAACATCACATAAATAATAGCTACTATTTTTTGAGCAACTGCTATGGTTCAGGCAATGTATGTAGCTGTGTTTAATTCTCACAGCAACCGTTTGAGGTAGGTATTATCCTCTCCAATTTTCAGATGAGGAAACAAAGGCTCAGAGGAAGAAATGAAACCACTTTTTGTCCATGGCGGTGAGACCGCAGTGCCACGTGTCTTCAGTCCTAAAGAAAATGCTATATTTTGACTCTAGTATTGATTCTTTTCTTGTTTACCTTGTAATGAAAAGTAGTTTATCAGTTATATCCCATAAGCTTAAATCCCTCCAGCCTTCTCTCTCATTAAATGGCAGTTTACTGGAGTAGAGCTCTATAAATGGGATAGTTTGTTTCTCTCTCTGCCTGAAAGTAAGAAAAAGGAAAGGGCTGATTCTAGAAAGTAAATTATTTAGCTTGAAATTGAGCAGTCTGCCTAGAACATGGAGCAGTGGCACGTTGTTGGAGGAGAGTGTGGATCAGCAGGCTGAGGACCCAGGCTTATTAGCTAATGGGATGTCGGGGAAACAGCCATCTCCCCAGTGCCCATCCCCCACCCCCGCGGTTTTGGTAAGTTGCTTGTCTGTTCTCCCCATGCCAGTGGTTGTGTGGGAGGGGCATTAATGAGACCGTGGAGAGAAAAAGCGGAAAGAATGTCACGTCAACCTGAGTCTGAACCCGCTTCTGATACAAGTTAGTCTCTCTGAGACCTAGTTTCCTTGTCCATAAAATGGGAAAAATCATACACACAGGATTCTAAGAAGTAGGATAATGTGTATAAAGGCACAGTATCTTATCATGTAGATGATGAGTAAGTGTCAGCAGTTGTTATGAATGTGCTGCTAGTTTTGTACGTCATAGGTAATGTTACAGTGAGAGGTGGAAAAGCCAGAGAGGTGGGGTGCAGGTGCAAGTGGAGACAGTTCTTAGAGGAGTGAACCCTCGACTACCTGAGCTCCATCAACCGTCAACCTTCCATGGCAAGCTGGGGTCCTGGGCATGTGGAGCTTGCCTAGGTCCCCTGGGGTTTTTTGCGTGTTCTGACATGGGAAGCTGCTGTTCTGCTGGTGTTGTCAACTCAGAGAGTTGGGAAGCTGTATGAACTTCATAAGCTATTGCTGTAAGTTGGGAAAGAGAAGTAGACTTCTCTCTGTTAAGCATTGTGGTCCTGGTATTTCATTTCATCCTTAGAACAGCCCACTAGCAGAGGCTGTGCCTTGCCCATTTTCCCTGGGCATTCACTCTTCTATTACGTACCCACAGGGTCCTATTGCAAGAACCTGCAAGTCTGCCTTAACACTTCTCTAGGCTTGTGTGTGGCACATGCTGGGAGTGCCAGGGAGTTAGAGCCCCCGAGGCAGCATTCAGCCAGTGAAAGATGGAAGTTGGAGGATAAAACCCCAGCCTCAGGGCCAGCCCAGTGGCATAGTGGTTAAGTTCGAGCACTTCACTTTGGTGGCCTGGTGTTTACGGGTTTGGATCCCAAGCATGGACCTCTGTGCCACTAGTAAAGCTATGCTGTGGCTGCATCCCACATACAAAAAATAGAGGAGGGGGCCGGCTCCGTGGCCAAGTGGTTAAGTTCGCCCGCTCCACTGCGGTGCCCCAGGGTTCGGATCCTGGGTGTGGGTGTGGCACTGCGGGTCAGGCCACGTTGAGGCGGCATCCTACATCCCACAACTAGAAGGACCTGCAAGTAAGATATACAACTATGTATGGCGGGGGGGGGGGGGGGTGTGGGAAATCAGAAAAAAAAAAAAAGATTGGCAACAGTTGTTAGCCTAGGTGCCAATCTTTAAAAAAAACAAAAGGAAGATTGGCACAGCTGTTAGCTCAGGGCCAGTCTTCCTCACCAAAAAACAGACAAAAACCCCCAGCCTCCTCAACCTCTTAGGTAGGTGCATTCTACCTGTCTCTCAGAGTTCACTTGTGGGATTGAGCCTCAGTAGCTCCCAGCAGCAACTTAATTATGTACATTCTGTTGGTTTCCTTCTCTTCCTACCGCACAACCAGGTCCCCGTCAGTGCTTCCTGGGTCAGGGCTGGGACTAGGGTGAGGGGCCTTCACTCTTGGGTTCAGGTAAAGGCAGGGTTGGCACTTGTGTGAACCTGAGAGTGCCTCTTTACGTTTGTAGCTAGGCACCTCAGAGGTATTGCCCTAATCCTAGCCCGGGCCTGGGTTGCTTCCCAGATAAACTATTTTGCGCTCAAATTAGGTCTGTTTCTGGGGAAACCCAGCTAAGGCAAATTCTATGGAGAAATTAGTCTCCATGTTTTATACATGGGAAACCGGCTCAGAGAAGTGACGAAATTTGCTTAAGATTATATAGCTGGTAAATGGGATGGGATTTGAACCCACGTCTGACACCAAAGCTGATGCTGTCTGTACTACACTATACTACCTCCTACCTCCCACTTGAGGCACAAAACTCAATGGGAATTTTAAGTTTGGATGGGCTCGTTCTTATCTGTGAGGCAGACCATCTTTGGCCCTAAGTTAACTTAGCAGATGGGAATTGGAGTGAGGGGAAGGCAGGTAGTACCAGTGGGAAGTTGGGAGAATGTGTAAACCCAGAGTGGAAAGGCTGTTGAAGCCACATGCAGCAGGAAGGCAGGAAGAGGTTGCTTATTTCCTCTCAGTTTCAAAAGCCATGGACTATTGAGGTTATGGGAGGGTTCTTCAATTTAATAAAAATTTACTGATATCTAATTCCAGGTCAGGTCTAGAACTGGCCCTGGGGCTACGAAGGTGAATGAGAAACTTTTTCTGGGGGCCCGTAGTACAGTGGGGGAAGACAAGCACATAAACATGATTTTAATAGGCTGTTGTCAATGCAGTGGTACAAGGAAATCCAAGACTGGGATCAATGGACGGGCTGCACTTAGCTGGGGTAAGGGCCAAGAGGAGCTTGTCCCGGGAAAAGCTTCCAGCATTGGTGATGACTGAGGTGTAGTGTAAAGAATGAGGAAAAATGAGATGAAAAGGCTGGAGAGGGTGAAAGGGGAGTCCTTCCAGACAGATCAGCATGAACAAAGAGCTAACAGTAAGAAGCAGCTTGATGGGTGTAGGAGAGCTGCAAGGCACATCCAGAGTAAAAGGGCATGGAGAGAATGATGGAGAGCTTATTGAGGGCCTGTGTGCCTGGCTGCGGGGCACTGTCAGCTGTGAGAAGCAAGCCTGTGAGCACCTTGGAGCAGGGAGGGTCTGGCTCCAAGCCCAGCAGTGGTACCCTGGCTGTGGCCCGCCTTTTCCCCGGCTGATTGACTCTCTCCATTACTGACTTTTACATTACTTACTCTCCCTTCTAGACAGCTGGAGATTGGCACTAAGGGGCTGTGAGGGAGCCTCGTCAGGACTTGTCCTTCTCCCTGTTGGTCAGTGGCCATCTGGTGTCTGAAGAGAACTTCTGGCTGCTGCTGTACCTCTGCCACAGTCATGGCTGTCAGAGCTGCTCACAGACCTCAAGCCCAGGCTGCTGCCTCCCTCCATAGGCCCTGACACACACCTTCCCTGACACTCTGCCTAGGGTACCAAGACCCCTGCTCCTGGGGAGATGAACACAGGACTTCCAGAAGCAGATAAATCTTTATCTTCCAGATAAAGAGCCCTGGCATTGCTTTTCATGGACGTATCCTCACTCTGGCGCAAGAGACTGCAGACTCTGGTGGTCAGCATGAATCACAGCTGGGTCTTTCACATTCAGTTCTATATTCTCTCCCAACAAAGTTGAGAGAAACGGAGCCCCAGGCTAGGCAGTATGCTATGTCGTGGGTGATGGCCACTCTGTCCTCCCCACCCTTTCCCCAATTTCCCTGCCTTTCAGAACATTTATGACCGATTGGTACCCAGGGAACTGTGCAGCAGGGCTGATATTTCCAGGCACAGTCATGCCAAAACTGGTACCAGAGCCACCATCCCTGGTCTCCATCCTGGGGTCATGTGGAGGCCATGTACTACCTGTGGATAATGGTAGGGTTACTGCTGATGAGGTAACCCAAAATGTTTAAAGTATCTGCTCACCAATTTCCCTGAAACAAAAATTGGTGCAGTTCGTCTAGTCTCCTACCATGGTGGTTGTCTTAGTCTGTTCGAGCTATTATAACAAAATACCACAGTCTGAGTGGATTGTAAACAATAGAAATTTATTTCTCACAATTCTGGAGGCTGGAAGTCTGAGATCAGGGTGCCAGCATGGTTGGGTGAGGACCCTCTTCTAGGTTTCAGACTGCCAACTTCTCATATCCTCACATGGCAGAAGGGGCATGGGAGCTCTTTGGGGCCTCTTTTATGAGGACACAAATCCCATTTATTAGGGCTCTGCCCTTTTGACCTAATCACCTCCCAAAAGCCCCACCTCCTAATACCATCACCTTGGGGATTAAATTTTCAACATAAGAATTTTGGGGGAACACTGATATTCAGACCACAGCAGTGGGCACAGTGATACCCCAAGGTTTTGTGCATTCAAGACTAATTCGGGGGGAACCAGCTTGGTGGCCAATGACGTTACTGCAGCTTGAGTCTCCCCTTCCCCTTGTGGTAAAGACCCAGGGTGTGAACCTACTCTTCCCCCTTGGCCTACAGACCAAAGGCTAGACTCCACAGTGGGGCTGCCGCCTCTCCCACCATATATCCCCACCTACATGTATCCTCTTTAGGCCTTTGGAGCTGCACCCCATTCCATGAAGGTGCCTGTGCTCCATGATTTTGTACATGCTCGCTCTTTGTTAAGGACCACCTCTGTCAGCATATTGCCCTTCTTCCTTCAGGGCTCAGCTTCCTCAACTTGACCTGCCCACTCTAGGACAGAGTTAGTCTCTTCCTCTTGTGTTCCCACATTACCTCTTTCTCATTAATACTTCCTCATTTTGGAAAATTGTCTATTCTACTGCATATTTCTCCAGCTCCTTTCCAGGGGTGAGCCACCACTTCAAAAGTCAGACTGTGAGTGTTTGTAAAATGGACAGAGCTCTGAGGGGATGTCCCAAAGTCCTTGACCCAGTTCAGGGCTTCAACTTCTTGTGGTCGTCTTGCTTAAGTTTGCACCATGGCCCTACCTACCCCGGGCACCTCTTAGGGCAGACTCAGACGGAAGTGCACTTTCCTGAATTAGCTTGTTTCTAGTAAGTGGTGGCTAAGGAAGAGGGTGGGGCTTGGGGACATAAGTCACTTGTGAGTTTCATTACTGGGCGCAAACCAAGTCAGTGAGATGCCTCACATTCATTGAGAAGAGCTTGGGCCTGAGGAGAGTGACCAACTGCTGCTGCTCCCAGGTAAGAGCCTCCTCTGATTCCTGCCTGCCTCAGCTCCAGCCCCTTGCCCTCATCTCTCCTGCTTGGCCCATGCTGGAGGAGCGGAGGCTGGGAAGACTAAGCCAGCTGGTCCTCCATGGTGACTCCCATCCTCGGCAGGGCTCCTTGGGATACCTTTCAGAAGGAAGGTTCGATCCATGTAGCTAATTCAGCTGAGTTAAGCCAAGAGGCCAACAGTTATTCAAATGTGTGCAGACCCTGGGCTGGGTTCTCGGGATCTAGTGATGTGGGAGACATGCCCTTCCCCACAGGGACTCTCAGCTGGAAGAGGCAGACATGAATATGGTTCCTGAGATCTGAATACTGGGGTTTCTTGGGAGAAGCTTCACAGTCACTAGCATGTAGAAGTGCTGAATAAAGTCAAATAGAGTGAATGAATGAATGATTGAGCTAGCTGGGCTTTGAAAGGAGAGGAAAGCTCACCACATTTGTAGCCCTTGGCCCTTTCCAAAGGTAATTGCCTCAGTTACCCCATTTTATCCTTGAAACAGACCTGTAATGTATATGGAACTAACGTCCCTGTTTCACAGATTTAGAAACAGAGTGTAGGTATGTGTGACTGGGGAGATTTCTTAGAAACTGATTTCTTGGGGCCAGCCCCATGACCGAATGGTTAAGTTTGCATCCTCTGCTTCAGTGGCCCAGGGTTTCGCTGGTTCGGATCCTGGGTGTGGATATGGCACCACTTATCAGGCCACACTGAGGAGGTGTCTCACGTGCCACAACTAGAAAGACCCACAAGTAAAATATACAACTATGTACTGGGGGGAATTGGGGAGAAAAAGCAGAAAAAAAAACCCCAACTTATTTCTTGGTTCTCCAAATAAGAAATCTCCTCTCCCCCCAATTTTACAAAGCTGTATTATTACCTATCCATGCCAAGCTCTGTGCTGGGCTGAAGATGCAGAGATGTCTCAGACACTGGTTCCGGACTCAGGGAACACTGAATGAAGCTGGACAGTGGGAGAGGGGGCGAAGCTTGTAGTCAATGTGGCCGGAGTGTGAAGGGGAACAGCAGGAGAGGAAGCCTGGGTTGAGGACAGTGCGAGGGGCCTGCAATGCCTCCATAAAGAGTTTTAGACTTTTTTTTTCTGGAGTGAGCGACATTCCAATGTGACGGTTTACGTCCTTTCTTAGGGGAGATAGAGCTTGGAAACGACATGGTAAAATCTGGTTTTGCACGGTCACTCTGGTGATGTGTTGGGAGCTAGTGGGGCAGGGAGGTGGACAGATTGGAGCAGAAGTATCAGGAAGCTGTTAGAACAATCGGATGGAGGAAGGTCTAGGGCAGTGGCAGTGGGAACTAGGAGGAGGGGACACACTCGGGAGCTCTTTCTGTTCCAGCTCCTTCAGCCTGAGAACTGACTGCACAGAGCAGGAGCGTGTCAGGGATGCATGCAGGCAAACTGGACTACCAGAGTGAGCAACTAAGCTGGAAGACAGGAAAAGAGTTTCTTGGGGAAAAGTGAAGGAGAAAATGAATGTGGCTTAGACTTTTGAGTTTGAGGGCCCTTCCAGCATCCAGAGAGTGATGTCTAACAGACCATTAGAATTTGGGATTTGGCTCAGGACAGGGGTGTATTTGGGAGCCCTCATATGGAGGTTTTAATCAAACCTTGGGGGTGAGTGAGATAAGGAGGGAGTGTGGAGGAGAGAGATATGGCCAGAAACCTGGGAGTCCCATTAAGGTGAGAGGAGAGAAGGAGTTATGAAGACTGAGGGACTCAGGAAGGAGGCCCAGCAGAGATGGGCTGTTGAAGACAAGGGACAAGAGAATGGCTCATATTTCTACCTCTTTTACAGTAAGAGAAGAAATTGAAATTCAAAGAAGTTATAAATGACTTGCCCAAAGTCATGCCATTAGTGGAAGCCCTTTCTGAAGCACAGATCCAGCCCTGTCCACATCTCCCTTCAGGAAGAAATGCGTGCACCTTAGCTTGTCATAAAGGCTATCTGTAGTGCAGCCTGCCTGCTTCTCCAGCAGGTCTTTGGCACCTTCTTACCTTATACCCTTTATTCCAAACCTCTAGAATGTCCCTGAACTTGCAAACACAGCAGCATGTCTGTCTCTCACTGCCTGTGTCAACGTACTATGATTGTTGATGAGGCTGTCAGGTCCCTGAGGGCGAGGCCTAGGTCTGCTTCATCTGTACCCCAGCATCCAGCACAGTAGGCATCAAGAACTCATAAATGTGAATGAATGACAGAATGAATGAATGGCCTTGGGATTAGAAACCAGCTTTCCCAGTGCTCTCTCCCTACACATGCTTCTGGAAGATGAAGGCCTTCTGGTTGATTACTGAAGGATCTATAATCGTCAGAGGTTCTGAGCTCTGCCCACAGCTTCCTTCCTGGTCCTCTTCAGAAGAAAGTTAGTTAAGGGTCTGGGTCACAGTCTCTGAGAGCCTGCAGAATACATGGTTCACCCGGGATGTTCCTTTCTTCCCATAGGTGGCCACCCACCACTGTGGAACCACATGGACACCATTGGGCCTGTAGGGTTGCGGCAAGGGGAAGGATCCCCCTGCAACCCCCAGGAGGGCTTGCCCTGCCCCTCAGACAGCTCTGAGCTGGTAAGTTCAGCACTGGGTTCCCATCGCATGCCTATTCAAGGCTGTCAAGAGCAGGATCAGCTGAAGATGCCATGGGGCATGGCTCACAGCCGTGCAACGCATTCTAGTTAACCAAGCCTTTCATATCTGATCTGGTAAATTCTCTTTCAAAGCTCAACACAATGGCAAGGCGGTGATTACTTCCTCATTTTACAGCTAAGGAAGAGGGGATTTAGAGAAGTGAAACGACTTGAGTTTAAGGTGTGACAGGAGCTTGAGCTGAGATGTTTCAGCTCCAAACATATTGCTTTTGCCACCTTGCCACTCAAGCAACGCCCCTGCCCCAAATGGGTGGACACAGTCTAGAAAGGACTGTCTCGGGGATTTCTGGTAGAAAGCTGTGTTCTTGAGGCCCTTCTTTCCCCAATTCTCTTGTCTCTCCTGCCTGTCTCCCTCCGCTCAACATAGCCACTGCAGTCAGGCACACCGAGGTGATTCCAGTGGCCCCCTCAACTTGGAGGTTACTATGCAGCATAGTGCGCATGCCTCAGGTTAGCTCAGAGTGAGTTTTCTTTGTCCTGTCGTCTTGACCAAGATTTAGAAGCCCTTTGTCTACCACACCCTTGAACAGGAAACACTTGTGTAAGTCATTTCATATCTCTTAGTCTTTGTTTCCTCATCAGGAAAATGGAGGAAAATAAAGTCTAATCTTCCCGCCCCCTGGAGGATTAAGAGAGCTAATGGAGATCAAGGACCCGCTCAGAGGAGGCATCTGTGAAAGGCTTCTCGAATTGTTCCCTGCAATTTCTTGAGTTTCCCTGCTTGTTCTGATATCTCCTGGGCTTGGCTTGTTGCCCAAACTGTGGGGGCATCACCCCTCACTGTGTTTCATGCTCCTACTCCACCCTTGTCCAACCTCCACCCCAAACCCGGCTGTGAACATTTCCTCTGTGCGTGACTCATAGCTGGGCCACAGAAGTGAGCAATGACTGGGCCGCAGGGCCTGCCTGACTGGGGCTGGCTCTAGGGCCTGCCCCCATCTCCTCTCTCGCTTTGTGCCCCTGCCTCCTGAGACTCCTGCACTGGTCCTACATCTACCCTGCTGGCTCCATTGCACACACCTGCAGTTTAAAGACAATTCCCTTTGGCTTTGGGGGAACTTCACAGGAATTTCCTGTGGCCTTGGGCCCTCTTAGTACCAGAGGCCTCACGCTTGGCTCCCCTTCCCACAGTGATCTGAGGAGAAGGTTATTTAACTACAGAGTCCCTTCCTGACCCCTTCCCCCAGGTCTCTTTTTGTCACCAGAGAGGGCATGGAATCAGGCTCTCCAGGCCAGTTGTACCTTGTGCTCTGAGGATAAGGGAACCTACGTTTCACTGAGCGTGCCCTATGGGCCACTCGCTGTTCCACCCTTCATGTCTGCTGTCTCCTCAGTCATCACAGCGTCTCTGAGAAGTAGGTGCTATTTTTGTTCCTGCTTGATAGAGGAGAAAACCTGCTCAGAGAGGTGAGGCGATGGGCCCAGACCAACCAACACAGCAAGTTGGTCAATGGAGCCAGCGTTGATGCTATATTGGATTCCCCCCTCTCTAGTGCTTTGCTCCTTGCCCTCCTGGCTGAGGTCTCTCCACATTCTTCCTTGGGAAGGTTGGAGGGGAGACTTCAGTTTCTTCTCCTGGCTGCTGCTTGCCCACTGGAGTCAACCAGGGAAGTCCTCCTGTCTTTCTTGCAGCTTCTGCCATCTCCTAGTCACTCCTCTTGCACCTCTCACTGCACTTGGGAGGAGAAGGAAGAAAAATATCAATCTGCCCAAGCCATCAACTTCTCTACAACTCTGCTGTTATCATTAAGCAATAATAACACAGCCCTCACATCTGAACAGCACTTTACATTTCATGTACATTATCTCCTTTAATCCTCATGGCCCCACGACCACTCAATCAACAAATCCTTCCTGAGTGCCTGCCTAGAGCCTGCCACTCTGCGTGGCTCTGAGAGACAGCCATGAACAAGGCACACCCCATGGCACTGGGGGCTTGGGGGGCCTTTTGAGTATTGTTTTTCTTTTGGTTTTCCACAAGAGGTGGCTCTTGTCGCCACAGAGAGAGGTTTGATTTGCCCAGGGCCACATAGCCAGGAAGTGGCAGGGCGAGGACTCGGATGTAAGTTTTCTCATCCTAGATCCTATGGGGTTTCTTTGCTGCAAACTTCATCAGCTTTGGATTCTTTTCAGGTGAAGATGTTAGTTTTTATAAGGCTCCCCATTTATGTGGAAACATCTCCACAGTCAGATCTGGGTTCAATTCCCGCCCTGCCCCTTAATAGCTGCTTGGGTTAGGCAAATGACTCTCCCTCTCTGAGCCTCAGTTCTTCATTTGTAACACAGGAATAGCCTCTCCTAGCGTGCATGGCTGCAGGACGCATCTGCTGTAACGTACACATGGAACTGCACATCCAGCCCTCCAGTTAGGATCGTTTACCTCCTTAGGGATCTGTTTCCCATTCTCATACTAAAGTTGGGGCACTGGGTCACTCCTGTCTCCCTCAGTGGGCAGCCTCTCCTCCTTGGCTCTCCCTGCCTCCTCAACCAGGTGCCTGAGTGGTTACTTCACAGATCTGGGTCCAGTTGGGGGCAGCAGGTCATAGGAATGGAATTCCTGTATGACAGGCAGTGGGGCCTGGGAGAGGCTAAGCCTGGCAAGATGGAGTCACGGGACCCTCCAACCAACCCGGGAAGGCTGCTGGAACCTCTCTGAAGGACAGGCCAGAGGGTCATCTGGGGGCAGCGTCCACACAGATGTGAGGCACGGGGGTGCTTCTTTTTTTTTTTCTTATTATTTTTTGTGTATGTGAGGAAGATTCACCCTGAGCTAACCTCCATTGCCAATCTTCCTCTTCTTTTTGCTTGAGGAAGATTAGCCCTAAGCTAATATCTGTGCCAGTCCACCTCTACTTTATATATGGGATGCCTCCACAGCATGGCTGATGAGTGGAGTAGGTCTGCACCCAGGATCCGAACCTGCAAACCCGGGCTGCTGAAGTGGAGCATGTGGGACTTAAACCACTCTGCAGTGGGGCTGGGCCCAGGGGTGCTCGTCTTAAACTCCCCCACCTCAGGCTGCTGGTGGAGAAGAACCTGGGGTGTCCGCTTTCCCCGCCTGCTCACTCCTCCCTTCTCTCTGATCCACACAGGCCCCGCCTTTCCCCAAATCCATCCCCTGGCTCCGAAGGAAATCCCTTTGTGCTCTTCTGCTAGATTTTCAAATGACTCCTTCATTTCCTTCATTTGGGTTGCCTCTGCAGGGAGACCTTCCCTGACCAATATGCAAAAATACCTCTTCCTCCCTGGTCACTCTCAGACTTCTATTCCTGTGGGGTTTTTTTGTTGTTTAATAGCTACCATTACTACCAGAACCATATTATACATTTATTTGCTGATTTTCTGGCTCCTACACTGGGATCTGACCTCCACAAGAGCAGGCCTCAGCTGGTGGCGCAGCACGTGGTGCTGAGGATGGTGCTGGGCACGTAGGCGGGCCTCAACCGACGCCGGTGGGAAGGACGGCCGCCCGGCAGGAGGACTGTCCTCCAGGGGGTGGTCTCCAGATTCTCCTGGGCTGGGCTTGCTCAGGCTCTAGATCGAGTGGGTCAGGAGAGGGAAGCACCTGAACTTGAAGTGTGTTCACGCATTTGTTTGAGGACAACTCACCCAGCAGTTCGGCTCTCGGTACTGGGGAGCCAGAGAGACATTAATTAAGGTGTGACAGGAGAGAGGACTCACTACACCCCGAATTCAAAGAAATGGAGGGGGTGGGAAGGTATAGGGAGCTGAGAAGGAGCCACAAAGGAATGGAGCAGGAGGAGGAATTGAGTGGGTCTTCCCTCCAGAAAGAAGCCTTCTGAGGATGCAGGAGCTGGGTGCAGGCGGTGAGGGGCAGGAGAGTTAGGTGTGTGAGGAGGCCAGGAGTGGGACTGGGCAAGCTCTGTGGAGGCCAGCAAGGCTAGAGAGGGCTCAGGCCAGCCTCTGGGGAAGCCGAGAGTGGCTTGCTGGTCTGGACTGATGAGGGGAGATGTGAGCCTGCCAGGGCTGGCCTGTCCTGGTTGGAGTCAGGGAACTTGGCTAGGTCAACAGGGCTCCCAGCCAGATGTTGGCCTGTTTCTCCCCAGGTACAGGAGTGCCTGCGGCAGTTCAAGGTGACAGGTGCACAGCTACAGCAGATCCAGGCCAGCCTCCTGGGCTCCATGGAGCAGGCGCTGGGCGGGCAGACAAGCCCTGCCCCTGCTGTCCGGATGCTGCCCACATATGTGGGGTCCACCCCACATGGCACTGGTAGGTGACCAAAATGTGTGGCCAGGACTGGGGAGAGGGCTCTCATCTAAGGGAGTGCGCCGTTCCTTATCCCTGACTCTATCTGTAATGCCCCCATCTCTAAGCTCCCTTGACGAGACTTTGCAGGCCTTGGGGATGTTTCTGGGAGGCAGAGGGCTTGGTCTTGCCAGCTGCATGCCTCTCTGTGACTTGCTTTCTCCCAGAGCAAGGAGACTTCGTGGTGCTGGAGCTGGGGGCCACGGGGGCCTCGCTGCGCATTCTGTGGGTGACCCTGACGGGCATTGAGGGGCACAGGATAGAGCCCCGGAGCCAGGAGTTTGTGATCCCCCAAGAGGTGATGCTGGGTCCTGGTCAGCAGGTGAGCGCTCACTGCCCAGTCTCTGGGGCCCAGCTGGGCAGCTAGGGCTTTGGTGGGCCGAGCTGAGCCCCTTATCTGTCCCACAGCTCTTTGACTTTGCTGCCCGCTGCCTGTCTGAGTTCCTGGATACTCTCCCTGTGGGAAATCAGGGTCTGAAACTTGGGTTCAACTTCTCCTTCCCTTGTCACCAGACAGGCCTGGACAGGGTGAGGCAGAGTGGGCTCATGGACTGTGGGTAGAGGGGCTGCAATTCCACGAACGCCGTTGGAGGAGTGACTCGGTTTTCTTCCTCCCAGAGCACCCTAATATCCTGGACCAAAGGTTTTAGGTGCAGTGGTGTGGAAGGCCAGGATGTGGTCCAGCTGCTGCGAGAGGCCATCCAGAGGCAGGGGGTGAGTGGAGGCAGGGGTGATGGGCGGGCTGCCCACTTGGCTTCTGCAGGGCCCGCTTTCCTTTCCTGTTTATATCCTTTATCCAGTTTAGCCCTGGGGTAAATGCTGCTACCATTCCCATTTTGTAGGTAGGGAGGCTGAGGCTAAGAAAGATCAAATAAATGTTCAGGACTGTTGGGGGAAGCAAAGAAGAGAGGCCTTGACCCATCTCCCAGTCTAGTGGGGAAAGCATTCCAATGTGACAGTCCCAGTTGAGGAGGTGGTTCCGATGACTCGTGGAGCACTGGGGCCAGCACACCAAGACTTGAGCAGGGACTTGAAGGAGGAGTTTTCCAGGTGCAGAAGCTGGGGCTGGGGAGGAAGATCCAGTTTCAGAGGGACGTATGCAAAAGTCTGGAGGCCTGAGAGAGGCGGATCCATCTGGACTAACTGTGCGGGCTGTGTGAGTGGCAGAAGTCAGAGCTGGGAGGAGCAGGCTCAGGGAGCCAGGCCAGGACGAGGGTGAGCAAGTGAGGTGCCTACAGCACAGTCTCAAGGTGCAGCATCTGCCACCCTCATCCTGGTCCTGTGGGGGGCCAGTGTTCTGGAGGTGATGGCTGAGGTTGGGAGCCCCTGAGACTCCCAGGGCCTGAGCTGAGGGCAGAGGAGCCAAGGGGAGGATGGGATGGGAGGAAAATCCTCCGTAGGGTGGGGGTGCCTAGAATGTATGTGACACAAATGTGTAGGTCATTGTTTCATGGACTCTGGGCATCTCCATCTAAGCTGGAGCCCCAGCCCTGCCCATCCCCCAGGTTCCCAGGTCTGCCCCTTCAGGCCAGGCCCAACCTCTGCGCTCTCCATTGTCTAGGCCTACAGCATCGATGTGGTTGCCGTGGTGAATGACACAGTGGGCACTATGATGGGCTGCGAGCCAGGGGTTGGGCCGTGTGAGGTCGGGCTCATTGTAGGTGAGCTGTGGACCATTTGTGATGGTGGGTGGGGTGCATGGCTGCCTGGAGGGCAGGCCCTGATGGGGTCATCCCTGTCAGACACCGGCACCAATGCGTGTTACATGGAGGAGGCGCGGCATGTGGCAGTGCTGGACGAGGACCGGGGCCGAGTCTGCATCAGTGTCGAATGGGGCTCCTTCAGTGATGATGGGGCCCTGGGACCAGTGTTGACCATCTTCGACTGTGCCCTGGACCAGGAGTCCCTGAATCCTGGTGCCCAGAGGTGGCCCCAGCTTCTGCTCTAGGCCCTATCACTGCTCTGCTCCCCTCCCCCTCTGCTGTCTCTGTACTCCAGCCCTCAGGCCCTTCCCTTTCACTTGGAGGGTCTCCGGGTTGCTCTCTGGGGGGACCCTGGCCAGGCTCAAAGAAAGAAGGGCACAAGGTTCTAGAGCCTAGAGTTTTTAACCCTTGGCCCTCCCTTATTCCTGACTCTGACCGGTCCTTACAGGAGTTGGGGGTTTGGGAGTAGCTGAGCAAAGTGTCCCCTGCCCTCCTTTGGGTTCCACCACCTTCCAGGAGCCCCCTGAACCTAACCTAAGCTGGAGGGGCAGCAGGGTCTGGGTAAACTCCAACCTGTCTCCGGGGGGGCCATTTCCTTCTGGAATATTTAGTCTGGGGACCCCCAAAAAATGACCTCTCTTTGGGGACTCTTGGAGGTGGGGCCAGGTGGGCTGAGGGCTTAGGAAAGGCTCTGTCCAGCCACTTTTCACACCCGCAGGTTTGAGAAGATGATTGGGGGCCTATACCTGGGTGAGCTGGTGCGGCTGGTGCTGGCTCACCTGGCCCAGTGTGGGGTCCTCTTTGGTGGCTGTGCTTCCCCTGCCCTGCTGAGCCGAGGCAGCATCCTCCTGGAGCACGTGGCTGAGATGGAGGAGTGAGTGGGAAAAGCCAGTGGGCTTACACAAGGGGCTTCTTGGCTTGGGAGAGGGGAGGATGCTGTAGTCCCCTAGATAGCCAGGGGACTTTGGGGAGGCAGGGAACTTCTGGGATACCTGAGCCCCAAAGAATCACCCTGTCCTACCCCCCTACCCCCAGCCCCTCGGTCGGGGCAGCCCGTGTGCACACTATCCTGCAGGACTTGGGCCTGAGCCCCGGGGCCTCAGATGCCAAGCTCGTGCAGGACGTGTGTGCGGCAGTGTGCACACGGGCTGCCCAGCTCTGTGCAGCTGCCCTGGCCGCCGTCCTCTCTCGCCTTCAGCACAGCCGGGAGCAGCAGACGCTTCAGATCGCTGTGGCCACCGGAGGCCGAGTGTTTGAGCGACACCCCAGGTATTGGGAATACACAGGATCTTGTGTGAGCAGGTAGCAGGAACATGTGTGTGTTTGTGGTTCACACCCAGAGAGCACTCTGGTACCACAGGTGCAAGGCAGTGGGTTTTAAATGGCACCCAAGCAGAATGAGGCCAGATAGGGGCTGGGGAGTGGGCAAAAGAGGTCAGAGGAGAGAGAGAGAAGATGTTTCTCCTTGAGTGTGCAAGGGAGGGGGTTGCTGGGAGCACTGGGCATATGGTTGTTGCACAGATGAATTTAGAATTGAATTGATTTGAAGTGATGGGACCCAGGGCTTCAGCAAGCCCTAGGGGTCAGGGCCAGGTATCAAGCCAGGATGGGCCTGGTATATGTCTGTGTAGGTTCCTCAGCATTCTGCAGGAGACAGTGATGTTCCTGGCCCCCAAATGTGATGTCTCCTTCATCCCCTCTCTGGATGGGGGTGGCCGAGGTGTGGCAATGGTGACTGCCGTGGCTGCCCGCCTGGCTGCCCACCAGCGCCTACTGGAGGAGACCCTGGCACCATTCCGATTGAGCCAAGAGCAGCTGGCAGCACTGCAGGCACAGATGCGGGAGGCCATGATCAAGGGGCTCCGAGGGGAGGCCTCCTCCCTCCGCATGCTGCCCACTTACGTCCGGGCAACGCCTGATGGCAGTGGTGAGGACCTGGCCTGAGTATGGGGCTGGGACATGGGCTCCTGGGGGTCACAGTATGTGCTGGGGTGGAGCCACCTGCTCTGTCCTGACACTGAAGGTCTCTATTCCACAGAGCGTGGGGACTTCCTGGCCCTGGATCTCGGGGGCACCAACTTCCGGGTCCTCCTTGTGCGTGTGGCCACGGGAGGTGTGCAGATCACCAACCAGGTCTACTCTATCCCTGAGTGTGTGGCCCAGGGCTCTGGACAGCAGGTACCCACAGCCTGGGCCTGGGTCAGGGGTGGGGAAGGGTCAGGGGTAGCCTGTTCTCTGACTTGCCTCAACCCTCAGCTCTTTGACCACATTGTGGACTGCATCATGGACTTCCAGCAGAAGCAGGGCCTGAGTGGGCAGAGCCTCCCCCTGGGTTTCACCTTCTCCTTCCCGTGCAGGCAGCTCGGCCTGGACCAGGTGAGGGAGGGAGGGCCAGGAGAAGCCATCCCCAGGGACTCCCCCTCACCTTGAATTCCCTTCATGGAGTGGGCAGGAAGCCTGGAAGAGGCTTTGAGGGTCCTGGGCTGAGTGGAGGGGCAAGTGGAGGCATGCTAAACTTGGCCTGCACTCAGCCTCAGTTTCCCCAGACATGGTGTGCCCAGGTAGAGGGGGTGTGGTGAAGTGGCCTGGAATCTAGGGCTATGCAGAGGCCTGGGATGCAGAAGGGCATGGATACCCTTGGGATGGAGAAAGACGGATATCCCTGGGATGGAGAAGGGCATGGATACCCAGTGGGCAGGAGAGTGGAGCCAGGGTTGGGTCTGGGGCACTTGGGAGCAGTGCAGGCCCAGGTTGGGGCTGACCAGCCAACGATTGACTGTCTCACCCACACTGGCATAGGGGACCTGCGGGGAGCAGTGTTTGTTCTGGCTCTCAAAGGGGCTTGTGGTTGCACTGTTTCTTTGCCCTCTCTCCCCTTCCCGGCCTTGCTTGTGACCCTCTCAGTGCCTCGGGGTTGGGCGCCCGACTCGGGTGGCGGAGCAGCAGGTACGGGTCTAGACATGGCACCCACTCGACACACACCTCTGCGTGTCCTTTAGTGAGAATGGTAACCTCTCAGTGCCCACACCTGAGGCCTGGTGTGGAGACAGCTCTGCCCAGACCTCCAGCCCAAGCTCCCAGGAGTCTCCTCCTCGACACCCTCAACTTCTGCTGAAAAGCCTCTGGTGACGAGGAGCTCGCTGCCCCTGAAGGCACCCATGGCCGTCTTCCCCACCTGCACCCGCTGAAACCTCTGCCTTCTCTGCTCCAACTAGCCTCCGTGCAGCTTTCGCGCCCTCCTCCCGCTCCGACCTCCCTCAGACATCTGCCTCTGCACTCGGCTCTCCTCTACACCATGGGCTTTTGGATCGTGCAGTAGGTCAGCAGAGTGTCTCTGCTGGTCTGCTCTGCTCCAGGCTGAGCATCCTGGCACCTCGTGATTATTCTTTGTAAGGTCTGAGAAGCAGGCGGGACTTAGTGTGCAAGATCAGGCAGGCGTGTAAGAAACGTGGTCCTATTAATGTTCTATACCTGAACTTAATTTCTATGTTAAACCCATATTCTTCTGAGGGGTGAAAACTTAACGTTAATCAATCTGGGGACTCTCTTCCCCAGGTAGGCACTCCTCTCAGCTGCACAGTATCCTTTGCTGTACAGAACGTGCAGACGCGCAAGGAGCTTGGGGAGGTGCCCAGGCCCCAGCTGTCTGGCCTCTACCACATCTGCTCTTGGGTCCTCACACCTCCCTGGGCGTTGTGTGGGGAAGGACGGCAGACGCCACCTCCGCTCTCAGATCACCCAAAGCCCTCCGTCTCCTCCCCTCCCCAACAGGGGCATGCCTAGGGTGGAGGGCAGCCTTTTCAGGAAGCCATCCAAAACCTGGCTCTGACTTCCCCGCCAGCTCCCCTTCCCCAGTAGAGGGGGTCTTTCTCTTGTCTGGGAGCAAGGAAGCTTTGCTATTTCTCATGATCCAGTCCCCCCTAAACTGGCTCTCCCTCTCATTCACTCTCTCACTCTCTCTGGTGTCTCTTTCTGAGACAGTGAGCGTAGAACACTCTAGCTGTGGTTACATGGGGAAAGGCATAAAAGGAAATATTACTGGGGGAAATGTTGGTTAATATTTCTAAAATGTCCCGCCCCAAAGATTTCCAGAGCTGCTCTCCATGCTCCTACTTTGGGCAGAGCAGGCCTTTTCTCCTAACAGCAGTGGAGTAATTCCTATCCCCCCTCGCACCCCCCGGAGGAGGCACACAAGAAAAGAACAGTCCTAAGCGCAGTCAAGCCCCGGTCAATAAGTTCACAGACTAAGGCCAATTTCCCACGGTAAAGGCCCCACCCATCCTGCCTGGGTGTCTGGGTTCTGGCTTTTCCATTTGTCCTTCACTCATATCTGGAACACAAGTGAATCTCCCATCGACGTGGCTCTGTCCCAACCCCGAAAATTCCTTCCTCTCAAGCGACTCTTGCTAGTTCTTTCTGGAAGAGCGGACTCTGCTGTCATTTGGACCTCAGAGCCTTCTCCATCCTCCCCTTTCTCACACACGGCACTTATTTTACCGGCTCTGTTCATTCCTAACCCAATTACAAAGGGCTATTCCTTCTGGGCAAACATCTTAAAATGGCCAGACCCTCAGACCATCTGAGCATTCTGGTACTAATAATAGAAAGGCGTAGGTCGGATGGTTATTAATAGGTTTCTTCACACTGGAAGGCTCCTGGGGAGTTGGGAGGGGGCAGAAGGCAAGGCCCTCTGTCATCTGCTGGAGTGGGCATGGAATCCTGCTTGGGGAGGGGGAAATCATATGCTCCTTATGGGGTGCAGGCTTTGGGAGCGCTGAGATTCCAAGGGGCCTCCAGCTTCCTGCCCCTCCTTGGTCCCACCCCAGGGCATTCTCCTGAACTGGACGAAGGGTTTCAATGCGTCAGACTGTGAGGGCCAAGATGTTGTGTGTCTGCTACGGGAAGCCATTGGGCGCAGGAAGGTAAGGGGTCTGCCTCCAGGGCTGCTTTGGGGCTGCAGTAGGCCTCGAGGGGAATGAAGGATCTCCTGCTTCCTGAGAAGGGGCCTTCTGCATGAGAGACCTCTGGGTCCAGTGCTGGTTACTGTGACGACCATGTTGCCCAGCAACTAGCAGCATCCTTTTGTGTGCAGGGAGTGGAGCTGAATGTGGTTGCCATTGTCAATGACACAGTGGGGACCATGATGTCCTGTGGCTATGAGGATCCCCATTGTGAAGTCGGCCTCATTGTCGGTGAGGAGGGCTCTGCTCTTTTGTGCCTTTACTGTCTGATGATAATTCACTGCCTCCTGTTGATTCCTCAGGTCGGATGTTCCCCTGGCCTTGGGGATCATTCTCTTCTGACCCAATGGGGCCCTGGAACACTCTGTCGGACTGGGAATCCAGAGTTTGGGTGTCTAGCCCAAACTCAGCTACTGACTCACAATCATTTCAGCTCTCTGAGCCTCAATTTGCCCATCTATTAAATGGATCGAAGCTCTGGAGTCACACAGATTTGGGTAGAAATACTAACTCTGCCACTTCCTCCTGCAGGCTCTTGGGCAAGTCACCAGAGCCTCAGTTCCCTCATCTCTAAGATGGAGATAATAGTGATGCCTGTCTCAAGGAGTCATGAGGTGGGGGTGGGGGTGGGAGGGGAGAATGAGCTGTGAGGGTCCTTCAGGTAGTCCAAGGTTCTAAGTCTTTATTAAGCACCTATCCTGTGGCCAGCTAGGGGCTGGATGAAGGGACTGGAAGACACATAAAGAAGGGGAAAATACCCGCCTTCTTGGAACTGACTGTTTAGTGGGGGTCGAGCCCAGAACAGCACATGGCAATCAGAGAGAGCAGAATCTGACTCTACGTGCCAGGGTAACAAGGCCAAGTTTGGAAAGGAAGTGGTCCCAACATGTACGGGGCTTGAAAAGAAAGCCTTGGAAGAAGGGATTTGGCTAGGCAGGGGAGGAGGGTTCCCGCAGCTCACTGGGCATCAGTCTCTTGGAGCAGGAGGTACAGGGTAGCCTCCCAAGAGACTGGGAGCTTCTGGGACATAGATCCTGGCACGGGGAGGAGCTCAAGAGAGGCACGCCCGGACTGCTGTGTGAATAAACAACCGGACAGAGGAATTCCAGGGGGGGCCAACAAGGAGACCACCTGCCTAGAGCTGCCCGTGTGTTGGGGAGCGGAATGGGCTGCCTTACCCAGGGTATGCCGTCTGCCTGCAACACCTTTCCTCTCTGTGCTTCTTGGCTTCAAGGTCAAATCCAAACATCACTGTCTCTCTGTAGCTTTTCCTGACCCTCTAGGCAGGAAGACTTACCCGTGCTCAGGGCTCCCAGATGTTCTTCTTTGCACTTCTATTTGGGCACATACAGGCAGTATCTGGGTTGGCTGCTCATTGTCCAATCTCTGGCCACTGTGGAGCTCCGTGATTCTCATGTCTGATTCCTGTCTATGACCCCAGCTCCTGGCCCAGCACCGGCTAGTTTGACTAGAGATCTGGAAGGCCAGTCCAGGGAGCTTGGGCCTCTCACTTGCACACAGTTGGGGATTCACACATTTCCCAAGGGAATGACATAACTAATGGACATTTTAGGAGCGCCCTGAGGTAGCATGCGAGACACACTGATGGTGGTGCTGGTAGGGGAAATGGTGGAGGCGCGGTGGGCTTGGTGTTGGCAGGGTCCATAGAAGGAATGTCAGGAAGGAGGGAAGACCAGGACCCGGGACAAGTCATGAGCATGGGGAGATGGAGAGGTATGGAATGAGCTCAAATTTTGCCATTTTAGTGTGGGAGGGCTCAGAGGGATCTTGTCTGTGTCAGTAAATGGCTCCCACCCGTCGGGCCTCTCTGCAGGAACTGGCACCAATGCCTGCTACATGGAAGAGCTCGAGAATGTGGCGGGCGTGGCTGGGGACTCAGGCCACATGTGCATCAACATGGAGTGGGGTGCCTTTGGGGACGATGGCTCTCTGGACGTGCTCAGCACCTGCTTCGATGCAAGTGTGGACCAGGCATCCATCAACCCTGGCAAGCAGAGGTGGGGCTAGGCCAGGCAAGGGTGGCTGGTGGTGGCTGGTGCTGGTGAGGTCTCCTGCCCTGTGCAGACACACGCTTTCACGCAGGTTTGAGAAGATGATCAGTGGCATGTACCTGGGAGAGATTGTCCGCCACATCCTCCTGCATTTGACCAGCCTTGGAGTTCTCTTCCGGGGCCAGCAGACTCAGTGCCTTCAGACCAGGGACATCTTCAAGACCAAGTTTCTCTCTGAGATTGAAAGGTGCTGGGGCCTGCATTACCTCCCTCCACCTCCCAAAGGAGCCTATCCTTCTACTTTGGGTGGAATGCTGGTTGGTGGGAGGAATCATGAGGGAGGAGGAGCTAATGCAGGACCCTCCCTCTCTGTGCTCTATTCCTTCCTGTCCCCAGTGACAGCCTGGCCCTGAGGCAGGTCCGAGCCATCCTGGAGGATCTGGGGCTGCCTTTGACCTCAGATGACGCCCTGATGGTCCTGGAGGTGTGCCAGGCTGTGTCCCAACGGGCTGCCCAGCTCTGTGGGGCGGGTGTGGCTGCTGTGGTGGAGAAGATCCGTGAGAACCGGGGTCTGGAAGAGCTGACCGTGTCTGTAGGGGTGGATGGGACCCTCTACAAATTGCACCCCCAGTGAGTCTGGGTGCCGGCCTGGGCAGGGAGGCATGGCCAGGTGGGGCCTGACTGGCCTGGGCTTATCTCAGGCCCTCCCCCTCACAGCTTCTCCAGCATGGTGGCAGCCACAGTGCGGAAGCTGGCCCCTCGCTGTGTGGTCACCTTTCTTCAGTCAGAGGATGGGTCCGGCAAAGGTGCAGCCCTGGTCACTGCCGTTGCCTGTCGCCTTGCCCAGATGGCCCGTGTCTGAAGAAGTCTCTAGGAAGCAGCTTTGTTGGACCGGAGCCCGGGCCCTGTCTGTTTCCCAGCCAGGCCCGGCCACCCAAGACTCCTAGAAGAGCCATGGGTGACCCCTCTGTGGCCACTGGCCTCGACCCCTGGCTTTCCCGGAGAGAAGTAGCACTTGGGTTAGCAATATATATATATAATTTATTTACATTCACGTCCGCTAAAATCCCTATGCGCCCCGGCGGCCGGGCAAGGCTGTGTACATAAGGCCAAGTGTAAGTGCGTGAATGCACTTAAGACAGAGTCAGGGCACGAGCTTCACACAACAGGCCCCGGACAGGGGCACGGCCGGCCCCAGGAACGGGCACACCACGGCACGCACACTCGCCATAGTCCAGCCCGGGACTCCCTTTGCATATTCACACGCCCCGTTGGGCAGGGCTCCTCGTGGCTGGGGGCAGGGGTAGGATTGAGGAGGAGCTGTTGGGTGTCCCTGGGTGGGGGGGTGGGAGAAGGGCAGCATGTGAGAGGCAGATGTGGACTGGCACCAGGCGTGAGAGACATGAGTGGCCTCCGGGTGTGCAGCGTGAGATGTGTGTGTGTGTGGAGATGAATGTGAGATGAGCACACAAGACATGTGTGGGCACATGCCTGTGTGGGGGTCGTGTGCCTGAATCCAGGGGCCGCCCCCTGTCTGGCTGTGGCCCTCGGTCCCGCAGGCTTGGAGCTGGGCCCCTCAGATGTGCCCTTACCCAGCAGGCACAGAAATGTTTGCATAAGGTCCAGCTCAGGCAGGAGCTCTGGGGCCATGTCCCGAGCCCAGTGTGTGCGTGCATGCTCGTGTGCATGCGGCCCCCAGCCAGGGGCAGGAGGAGAGGTAGCATCACACGCACATACACACACATACAGGGGACTGCGCCTGGCCCGGCCTCCAGGCACTGTCCACCCTGGACCCTGGCAGAGTCACAGCAGGTGGCAGTGCCAGCCTGGCCAGACAGGCCGTGGAGGGGCGGGAGTGTGGGCAGGGCACTACACAAGGGCCAGTGTTAGGAGACAGCGTCCACCAGGAGGGGGCCTGTCCACGCAGCTCTCCCCAGGGTTGGGGAAGGGCCCTGTCCGGCTTCTGCCTGTCCCTGGCGGGTGCCAAAGCTGGTGAGAGTGTAGGCATTGTGGGCCTGGCTGGCCTCAGCACTCGGCCTCCGACACTGTGAAGAGGCCAGCATCTGGCTGGCCCAGTCCGGCCACTGCTGCAGCCAGCTGGCTGAGGTTGCCGTTGGGGAAGTGCCGGGCCTCCCACAGGTTGAGGATCATGGCTGTGGGGCTGGGCTTGGAGGCAAAGAAGCTGAGATGGCTGTGGAGGAGAGTGGAGGAGAGCCTGTCAGCAGGCTGCTGGTTCCTGCCCCCAAGCCTGCCTGCCCAAGGTCAGGGCTTCCCCTCAGCCAAGTGCACTGGACACCCCAGCTGCTGGTGGCTGGGCCACAGCCTCATAGGGTGTCCCGTCCACCCCACCTATCCTACCCACACAGGCTGGACTGCAGATGGCCTTCACAGTCCCTCCCTGCCCATCTCTCACCCACCTGTCCAGGTGGAGTTTCTGGGCCAGAGTCCGCCAGTCGGCACCCCGGCTACAGGGTGGGTCCAGGCTGGTAATGATCTTCTGCCGAATGAGGAAGGGGATCTTGAAGGCACTAGGGCCCACTAGGGCTGGGACCCCCCCTTCACTCTCCAGAGCCAGCAGCTCACCAAATCTTGTGTCCTGGGGGTAGGGAGGGGTGGAGGTGTCTGTTAGAACTTCCCCAGCTCAAGCCCACTGCTCCCTCCTAGGCCACCCAAGAGCCCAGAGCATGGGGCCGGCGTGGACACTGCGCCCCCCTGCTGCATCAGGACCCTGCTCACTGGAGCTCAGGGGGCAGTGACCTGCCCAAAGTCACACAGCCAGTGAGCAGAGGAGCCAACTGGCCTCATTCTCCTCCTTCTCTCCCCACCACTGCTCCCCAAGTCACCTCTGCTGACCACTCAGAACTCATGGCTGCCAGAAACGCCCTTTCCCTCGCTGCTGTCTGTCTAACTGACTCATCCTTAGAGGCCCAGCACAAAGTCCCTCCTCAGGGATGACCTCTGGGGCCTCCAGGCCAGCTCCGGCTCCGGCTCCGCGTCCCGCTGCTCTCACAGCCTCTTCAACCCACTCCCCAAGTCCAACTGCATTTGTACCTCCCTCCCGGGGGCACTTGGAGGAAGGTGCCAAGTGGTTTCTGGAGGAGGTGGGCTCGGTGGCAGGGTAGGTCCAGTGGAGAGCACATTAGGGCAGTGCTGAAGCCCACTGCTGCCCACCTTGGTGATGTTGAAGTTGATGTTGAAGCTCTGCCCGTCGCCCTCCACCTGCCACACCCACACCTTGCAGGCCAGGTCACTGGTGCTGGGGCTGACGCGTTCCAGGGTGAAGGTGCAGTGCAGGTACTGCTGTGTGCCATTCCAGATGTGGTAAAAGGGAATCTCCTGGGGGGGCACAGAGGTGGGGTCAGGTGTGCCCGGAGGCAAGTGTGCCCAGCTCCGGGCATCTTGAGTGCCCTCACCTGGTAGCTGACGAGAAGCTTGCTCTTCCACAGGGAGCTGGGCACGTCGTGGACGGACAGGCGCAGGTTGTGGTAACTGTCCTTGAAGTGTAGGATGCGAGGCTCCTGGATCAGCTGTCCTCCCAGCTGCTTCTCCAGCTGTACCACCTCCTGCAGCGCCCTAGGGGGTCAGCAGGGCCTGGGGGCCGGGAGGGCCCCTCCCCACTGGCTCCCCACCCCCCCACAACTGACCCGACCCAGTGGGGCAGGCGGTACCTTGAGTGCGTCATGGGTGTCGTGCAGGCAGTAGACTCGGATGTTGTACTCGAGGGAGGTACAGGCCACAGGGGCGAACAGAAGCAGCTTGAGGCGCTTGGACGCCGCCACACTGAGGGCCTCTCCCACCAGGGCGAAGCGGCCCAGCTGCTCAGTGAAGATGTAGCAGGCGCTGGCCTCCAGCTGGCAGTAGTAGAGGTGGGAGGGAGCCTCTTCGCCCAGGTGCAGCACGTCCTGCGGGCAGGGCCCGATGGGTCAGCTCCAGGCCAAGGGTAGCTCTGAGGAGTGGCCAGAGACTGGGGAGGGGGCGTGGCTCCAGAGCCAGGAGGGAAGCCCGGGCTCCACCTGGAGCCCCACGTTGGGGGCAGGGGCGGGGGTGGGGGGGCGCTTGGGGCTGATCTTGCTCACCTCCCAGCTGCCCTCGCAGGACTGCTTTTTGAGGCGCAGGCTCCAGCTCTCGGGGCTGGGCTCCCCACAGTGGTCCATGGTGAGGATGACAGGACGAGTGAGCAGGACTCCGGGGGGCCCGCAGCTAACGATGGGACTCAGCAGGGTCTGACAGCCAGCTAGGGGCAACCTCAAGTGGGGAAACACAGGTGGGGAGGGAAAGGCATCAGTGGGCCGTCCTGGCAGCTGGGCAGGGGCAGGGCAGAGCTGGGTGGAGCTTAGGGGCAGCTCTTCCCCTGCTCTCCCGCAGGCCAGCAGGACGAGGACAGTGGGTGGGCAGGGGTGTCACAGTGATGAAGGCAGGGGCAGGCCCCGCCCAGCCCAGCAGCAGGGCCCACGCTCACACCTCACGTCCTCCGGCTTGTGCAGCGTGAGGTAGACCTCGTAGATCTTTCCTCGGGGTATGGCGTCTGGGGGGATGAGGAGGCTGATCCCTGCGACAAAGCGGGGGGAGGGCCGGGCTTACCAGGCGTGCGGAGACACCCCACAGCCCACTCTGCCAGCCCCTCCACAAGCCTCCGTTTGAGGACTGATTGCTGTTAGCCTGGCCTGGGGACAGAGGTGCCATAGGGACTGCCAGGCTGTCCAACCACCCACAGCGGCATGAAGCTGAGTCATGGTGACCCCAAGAACAGCTGAGAGAACTCAGGTGGGAAACGCATGCCTAGTTAGCCTGGGCACAGAGAACTCTGGAACCAAAGGAGCCAGGTATGCTGTACCTACCTCCCCCATTAACCCAAAAAGCACTGTGTGGGACCAGGCACTCCCTGCTTAAAACCGTCCCTGCCTCCGATAAAGCCCAGCTCCCTGGCCTGGCATTTAAAGCCCTTTGCCTCTGGCCCCAACGGTCTTCCCAGCAGCCTCTCCAGCCCAGCCTGTGCTGCTTTCCTGGCTGGCTGTCCTGGAATCACTGCCCTGAGCATGCCTCTGCCTGGGTGCCCCGCCCTCCCACCTGCTCAAGCTCCTTCCCTCTCCAGGCACGGCTATCTCTGGTGGGCACTCCACCTCTGGGTGACTTTGCTCCGTGCTGGGCAGGGGCCCCCTACAACTTTGCCTTTAACAACTTTGCCTGCTTCAATAGATCTCTCTGGTCTGGGAGCCATCGCACACATGTCCTCCTCTCTAGCTGATTCATCTGTGTTCCAGCATCTTGCAGAAGCAGCATCAGAAAGTGTCTGCTGAGGGAGAGCGAGGAGGAGCGGCAGCCTACCCATCCCACTAGGGGAATGAAGGGCCGATAGTCACTGGGCACCCATCGTGTGCCTGTCCTGTTCTATGAGCTTGCCATGGACCATCTCACCTCATCATCCTCACAGCCTTGTGAGGGGAACATCATCATCCCACTCATGGAGGAGGGCATGAGGCACAGCGGGAGAGCTGCCAGGCCAAGACCCGAAGGGGAAGTAGCACATGAGGCAGTGGATGGGGGTGGTGGAGAGAAGCCCGTGCGCGTGAAGGGCAGCAGGCTGTGTTTGGGAGGCTGTGAGCCCATCACGGCTGCTTTGTGCAGGAGAAGCATGCATGGGAGGGAAGAGGCCGCTGCAGCCGGCCAGCAGGGAGTGGGTCATTGTGGCCTTGTCACGTGGGCTTTGCGGCGGGAAGCAGGAGCCTCAGGAAGGCTTTGAGCAGAGGAGGGACATGATCAAGTCTGGCTTCATTTGGTGAATGCCTGGAGCTGTGTACCAGATGAGAGGTAAGTGTGGTGGCTTGGGCCAGGACAGGTAGCAGGGAAGACGAGAGGCAGGAGGGAGCAGGAGCAGTTGAGGAAGAAGAACAGTGGGGCTTGGTGTGTGACCAAAGCTGGCATGGAGGTGAGCGGGCAAGTGAAGAAGAGAAGGAGGTCAAGGTGACCCCCAGTTTCTGGCTTGAGCAACTCAACTGTGCTGTCCCTGAGGTGAGGAAAGCCAGAAGCAGGAGGTTCTGGGGGAGGGTGGG